CTCTAAAAAAAAAAAAAAAAAAAAAAAAAAAAGATTGTGCATCACTGCAAACCGTGGCTGGAGATCTTGAATGCACTCTTCAGGCGATGAACGCGGATTCGGAGGGCGACCAGATAGCAGATCACAAGGCAGACGAATGTCGCGTTAAAAGAGCATGTGGGCAGCACTGCGATAAGCCAGTAAAAGTATCGGTAACTTCTTGGCCCAGTACTGTTAGTTTCTGGAAACCACCAAAGAGAGGTTATTAAGGATGGTTAAATTAAATCTCTTTACTATGCCGTCTGACTGGAGATGCAAAGGTGTCATTTGAGTTTTGTCAATGGCTAGTAGCTTGAAGAGTTTTTTTTTTATTATAGCTGAGGTAAAATTCCTTCCCTGATCGGAATGTAACTAAAGAGGCACCCGGAACCTGGAATCCAGTGCTGTGTCATTACCTCTGTTACTGTGACAGCGTCTTGATCAGGAATAGGATATGCTTAAAACTACTTGGTCAAGTAATCAGTGAGAACGAGGATGTATTTATTGCCATCAGCAGTTCATGACACAAGTCCCAAGATGTCAAAAGTGATACGTTCAAAATGCACCCCTACATTGTAACGTTGTAGCATCCCTCGGCTTCATTTATTTTGCCATTTCTCACACACGAAAGCATTGCATTATTGGCACTCATTTTGCATGTTAGCCCTTGCATTACTCTAGTGAAGCGCGTTCGAACTGTATACAAAGCCCTCATTATTCCGAAAGGGTCTTTAATCGCACGGCTATGTAGTTCTCTAAGCACGTCCTGGATCTAGGATGTTCGAAGTATCGGAATGCCCTTTCAACATCCGATTCGATCTTCCCGTACAGGACGCCGTTTCGAATATAGAGTTAATGCCAGGTAGCCCAACAATGATTTTTTTAGGACTATAGATGGAAATATCATCACAGATAGGTGTCCTAGTCAAAGACTTCATTAACACAGTTATGATTTAATGGAACTGATCTTTCTGACTTCTTTGTCACCCCGTGGGTTGGGTTAGACCAAGCTGAACTCGTAACTTAACGTATAACAGTGTTAAACAGCTCGTATTTCACTTCGACACAATATCGGTAATTCTACCCAGAGTCTCCTTGACCAGCTTCCTTCAGATAACGAATAATGGTGCCATATTCCTGAGGAATCTGTATCCATCTGGCTGTTTGATCTTCAAGATTATTGAAATTTGAAAGCCAAGTCAACGATGAATGATGCGTGCGTAACAGAAATTTTTAGGCCGTAGAGGTAATGGCGAAAATGTATTACGGTTTTAAACATGGCGAACATTACTTTTGGCGACAGAATAAGTCATCTAGGGTTTAAATAGATACGTGCTCCAATATGCTTCTACACGTTCTTGACCATTTATTTCCAGACACTGTCCATTGCTCACAGCCGTGTCAAGAATAAATGGGCTATTGAGCCGAGGGTACGTCAGGATTGTCGCAGATGTTAAAGCCTTCTTCATTTAGTTAAATATAGCTTCACATTTTTTGTCCCCCAAGAACTTTTGTTTCCTCTGTGTCACTTTGTGAAGGGTTCTTGCAGTGGGAGCAAAGTCCTTCACAAATGTCCTGGTGCAAAACCTCAGGAAACTTATGAGCCGAGAAACATTTTCAGAGAGCCTACAATGCTTTTCTGATGACATTTTACCTGATTCCGTACACCATTTTACCTGGTTTCGTACACCACCTTCGGCAGAGATGACATGTCTGAGGTGAATCACTTCCTGTTTGAATAATTTTACAGGCAGGAAGACATGGACAAGCCTTAATTTTGAATTGGCTTCCATCAGTTTATAAAACACTTTCAGAATATTTTCTAAGTGCTCTTCCCGACTATGATGATGAAATCCAGGTGTACCAGACAAGCTTCGTAGGAAATACTTTTGATCATAGTCTCCATGAGGCGTTCATATGTTGTTGGTTCATTCCATAATACAAAGGGAATCATCTTTAAATGTTAAAGTCCTTTCCCAGCAGTAAATACTATGTTTTCTTAGTCACCGAGAAAAGTCCAATCAAAATTGTTTTTCCGTAGAATGTCTAATATGAGTACGCAAACGTCTGTAATATTTGCTATATACGCGGTGTGATGGTATGCAGCATTTCCAAAAGTGATGTTAACGTTTACCTTTCATTCGATGTCGAGTTTATCCTTTGCACAAAGTCTAGAAGGTAACGCAGGGTGCGAACAGATGAGTTTACTTTCCATTTTGTTGATCCTAATGTGTTCTGATGATGATAACATTGGATCCTTTATCGGCAATCATATTACATATTACAACAGCATTTATACGTCCCACAGTGTAAAGTCCAATACTGCCGACACGTATTGAAGATATCTGAAGCGCTTTAAATAGGGCTTTTCTATATCTGGCAACTTCTGATGTGAGAGATGGCTACTAATTTGTGTCATACCTCCTTGTTATTAATAAGGTTTAATTCCCGGTTTTAATTTACCGTTTCTGGTGTGTTCTGTAGTTCCGTCGTACGTGATGTTCATCGCAACATTTCGAGCACTTTAGGGTTGATTTTGACCACTGCTCTTTCGCTTTAAGTGATTGACTTGCTTGGTTAAATCGTCTAGACGAGCAGTATGTTGATCAATCGTTTCCTTGACGTTTGCAGCTCTGCTTAGATGGTGGTCTCTAAGGGTTGCTTGCTGCGCTGCCTTAAATTTCTTGGCATGTACTAAAATTCTTTTCAGATTCTTGACATCCGCCATTCGCCGGTTTTCTGTATCACAGGATTGCGGATGCCATCGATGAAAAACTGCAGAGGCAAGATTTGCCTTGTTTGTGAGGGACAGTCAGAAAAGGCCAGATGAAGCAGCCTTGATGATCCGTGGTAAGCTCCTAGAGTGTTTCCTTGGCTTCTGGTGGCAAGATTTAAACACTTTTCGTCAAAGCGCAGCTCCAACGCGCTGGATAGAGCTTCGAAATCTAACCTCTGGATTTCAAGCAGAGTTTTCATGATATCCGCTGCGTCTGCTCTCACAGTAGTGGCGAGATGGGAGACTTTAGCTTCGGATTCCCATCCATTTGCATTTTGCACTATGCAGAACTGAGTATTTGTACACTTGCCAGAATATCTTTTCATTATATGTGGATAGCTTTAGAAAGGATGGGGACAATATATCTATGAATTTAAAGGCTTCAGAATTCTGACTACCTGTGATTATGGAAGTCTTCCTTGGCAACAACAGCAGAAACTCTGTCATCAGTTTGTTGCTTGAAAGCAAAACCTCTTTCTTTAATATCTCCAACTTTACTATCAATTATGTCTATTTTGCTTTCGATAGCCTCGAATTGTTTTCCTATTATGACAGTAGATTCTCTTTTCATTTCTTCTTGACCTGTTTCAGTCTTTTCTTGATCAGCATCCATCTCTTCTTGAACTGATTTGACAGCCCCGCTCCTTCCATCTTTTCTCGACCCGCTTTCATCTCTACTTTGAATGCAACGAAAGCTGTCGCCAGTGGTCTCAGTTGCTCCTCCACTTGAATTGTCACGGGCATTGAATCTGATTTCTGACACCAAAGATTACTGTATGTATACGAGATCGTAGTGGACTGAATGCGCACAGAACCGAGGATAGCGTGATGAAATTTTATTTTCTCAAAAGCAATACTTTACTGTTCTTAAACTTTACTGCTCTTAAACAATATTTTTTCCTATATAGCAGCGGTAAGTGCACTTCAGGAACTGATAATTTTGAGATAATTCAGAGACAAATACCCAGACAACGATAGTTGTAAGTTTAAGGCGAAATGGCAGATATTATTTATGCTTACAGAATGATTATATGGTAGTTCGGTCATGCAGCTTAGAAGAACAATGCTTAACTTTGTAAAGTATTCATTAATTTTGTCCAAGTTTATGTTCAGTACCTTTACTATCATTCCCTCTTAATTTTCCTTCCAGAATGCTTTTAGTTTGCTCGCATTCAAATGACGTAGAAAAGGACATTATTTAAAAAGAGGTTTTAGATTATTCAGTCAGAGCGTGTTCCGCCCGCTGAAAGATATGTGTCTCAATTACAGTGTCAATTACAGTATCAAAAGGCTTGTTATTCAATTACATTAACAATTACAGTTATACAGGGACCGCCCCCAAAGTTCCCCAACATGTCAGAAAATTTGGCGACAAAAATTAGTCTCCAAAACCAGCGCCAGCTTAGCGATATCTCTCCAATTTAGAGAGATGGCCATTTACCTCATCATTAAATAGGTATATCTCTGTATTCCTATTTTTCTGGCAGAGCTTCGTCTCTTCAGACTTTTCATGTTACATTATATAAAGGGTATTATAATTTTATATATAATTTCATTTAAATTATTTAATTATTTTCATATATATAAAAGTCCTAGTAATATTTATGCTTGTATGTAAATAAATATAAACTTTATCTCTTAGTGATGAATTTTGTAACCTTGACGAGAAATTTCCAGAAATAATGTTCAACAAATAATCATCAGTTAATCGGGTTTTCTTATTAATTTCAAATTTGAAAAAATGTCTGTTCACATATTATTGTATTTCCAAACAAAACGATTATTCCTAATGCAAAAGTTTAATACAACTTATTTCGTTTTGACCGCTTATTCCTTTTTTTATTCTGCTTTCTTTTTGACGAAAATAAAAAGAAGTTAATAAAATCTACATCCTCAAATATTGATATCACACAGTTGAATATTTCAATTTACTCATTGCATATTTATATCACACAGTAAATTAATTAGTTCCATGTATAGATTTTCGGTTGGGTTATTCATATTTTTTTCTAATGAAAGTGGAAATAATATGAACTCGGCCTTCAAATAATTAAAATCTTAAAACCTTTGCAATAGTGTATTTGCAAAAAATACCTAATTGAAGGCTCATGTGTTTGCACAGGCACCTAGGCTGGTAGCCGCATCCTGTGTGTAACTCGTACGGAAAAGAACATATGGTCCCTAACATATCATAGCAAATATTACTCTCCCCGGCGGAGAATCGAACCCCGGTCTCCCGCGTGGCAAGCGGGAATACTCACCATTGTACTACCGAAGATTACCGCTTGCCGAAACCCGGGACCTAATTGAAATGATTTCGAGGGCCGCATATAACTGATTTAAGGGACGCCAGAACAAGTTGCTGGTTATTAAGAGAACTTTCCTTTAGCGGTTTTCTGTATGTATAATAATTTCACTTTTCAGCTTCTGTTCTGTCCACTACTAAGGAATAAATATTGCAGTTGATCATTTTACTTGAGCGCGGTGGCATGAAACTACACAAATGGGTTTCTAATGTTGAACTCTTGAATGTTATTTAACCAGAATGGAAAATATACAATTCACATTTTAAATAAAGCGAATTACGTCATGCTTAGTGTTAGGCATGCTTTCTAAACCTTGCCCAGACTATTTCTATTATCAGCTGTATATAGGAAAAGAATATGTTTTCAGTAAACTGACAGGGCTCTTCGACACAGCAAGAATTTTCCATCTCTTTCGACTGACTTGTCCATCGTTCAGAAAAATCACTGTGGGTGAACTAGAATTGATCGTAATGAACAACTTCCATCCAAAGAAGCTCTTAGATGGTAATAGTATATCTCAACTGTAGAAATACTTAATTCTGTTAATATCAACCTTTATGTTTTGCTCGAAGATTACAGTGTAAAACAGAATGGATACACTACACATAAGAATTAATGGATTCTCAGCTGCTTAAGAGCATGCTTATGGAACAGTAATCCACATGTGCTGCATAGGATTGAATCAATTGTGAGAAAACTTTTATGCAAGAAATCTAGAGTAACTTCAATCAAGATCTAGAACTATTAAGTATTTTTTTAAAAGCAGGAGAGTTGAAAAATAAGCAACACCTTCGCCGAAAATCGAACCACGGAACTCTGGAATACGCGCCCAGCGTGCAGACCACCTCACCACGAAGGCATGCCAAGAACGCGGGAGAAATACCTTATATAGGTAGTTCCCATTCCCGCCATACTTTTAGCTGAGATAGTTACTAAGGTGTTATTTCTCTGTATTTAGTATCAGCACGCTATACTTGTCCAGATATTGCGTGCAGCTATAATACCATTATTTGATTGGATTTAAAGTTCACCTAACTTATCTAAGTCATTTGTGGCAAAAACAGAAATTCACAAATACAAGATCTGACTAAGAATTGTCACTGGAGTCATGGAAGATCTGAAGATGTAGTTGCAAGATTCTTCTTTTTTGCATAGTTTACCTACAAACTGCGATTCCGTTATGTAGATGAAGAAAGGATGCATATGTTCATGAAATCAACCTGCTTCTGACAAGTGGAAAAGCTGCAATGAAGTCAAAAGAATTTAATCCATCAGTTGTCACATTACCTGTATTAAGAACTATCTCAATATTAGATACTCGGATGAATATTAGTAATAATTATACTAAAATCATTCGCGTTTTAAGTTATAATTTTAGGTACGCTAACAACAGTAGGAATACTAAAATAATAAGAAATGGGCCACTAGCAAAATAAAAATTAATGATAGAAAATAATTCTAATTAAGATGGACTCAAGAACAAGAATTTTTTGATGATTTAGGATATTTAAATAAGAATAATTAAGTATAGAGTAATACAATTTTAACACCTGTATATCTCTTTACAGACAAAAGTAAAATTATTAAGGGCTGACGAACGTTTCATTAATTCGAATTGAATTATACTGGTCTGGTCTGATAGAAATGTAGTAGGACACCCAATGTTTACTATAACTTATGTAGGTGTAGTCCCACTACACTTCAACCTAGAGAAAATCCGAAAGATCGCAGGGCTCACCGAGCTGTCGTGCCTGGAAACAACTGTTTCACCTCACACCGGCAGTACCGAGACCTCCTGTGAACCCCAGGACTCCCAACCAAGACTCCGAACATTTTTTAAAATTTCGAAAATCTATACAAAAATGTACATAACATTTCACAGGTGGTGCCATCGCACTTACATGCTTTGGATACATATCCAGTTTTGACTTGTACAATTTGGTCTTAGGGTAGCAATACATATATATTCGGTATAATAACAATTGGTACAATTAATACAATACAAAATGACTAATTATTAATAGATGGTATAGGTTTGAGAATTTAAATTAATTAGTACAGTACTTAAATGAATAGTACAACTTAGTATTTCACTAATTCCAATAGATAATGCAATGTATAATTCAATTTAGTTTAGTATAATAATTGTAATTCAGTATATATATACAAATATAACACAGTTTATATATTCAATACATCAATGATAAATAGTTCATTGATCCTAATAATTTATTATTGCAATAGTTCATAAAACTTCAAAGTAATACATTGGCATACAGTTCACAAATTTGAACATTGCTATATAGTTCATATATAATCTGTATATAGTTCATAATAGCACATTTATAGGATATTGGTAAATAATTCTTAGTAGTTCTTAATAGTTTACTGGGAAAATTATCGGTGTTATAAGCAAAAAGGATAATTTTATGTTACTGACATTTTTCTCAAATTTGTTTAGAATAGTTGTTAAGAGTTAATAAAATAAGTCCATAATTAGGTAAACAGTTCCCAATTATTAGTATTTTGTATAGTTCATGTCTATTCAGCAGGATTGTTAAATAAGTTAGGCTCTAGGAATGGCTCTAGATTAATAGTTGGTATTTGCAATAGTTTATAATAGTTCAATGTCAGGTATCATAATCAACAGATTAATAGACAATGACATGATCATGTATAATTCTTTAAGTTAGTACATATAATAGTTTATAATTGTACATAGATATTGTGATTGGTATCATAACCATTAGATATAATTATAATATTTCTGATAGATATAATAACAGTAGACCAACAGTCATTATTATACTAGTTCATAATAGTTTTTTGATGTAAAGTTTATTATATAATTCAGTTTCCTTTATTTGAGATGATGCCATTTCACATCATATGTTTATGTCGAATTCTTTTAGTTAAGTGCATATATCCCATTTTGTTTAATGTAAATGTTTTCACTTTATAGCGTAAAGTACAATACCTAATAAGTTGGCACAATAGGTTTATATAAGTTATAATTTAGCTTTACTTCATGTAATAGATTTCATCAGTTTAATTTGTAACATAAATATATTTATATTAGTGTGAAGAAGTGATTTTTAACTTATTGGTTGTGAGGATGAATTTAATCTAAGATGTCATATTCTATTCTTGTAATTATTTTTGTCACTTCCTTTTGATATATTGGGCAGTTTGGTGCGTACGCAGGGTGATATGTATTAAGGTCCGTATTATTAGCGTCATTATGGAGTTTGAAGTTTATACAGGATGGACTCTCTGCTTGGTATTCTTTGATATTGTGATTGCCGCCACAGAATGCACAATAATTTCTGTGCTTGCAATTTCTAACAGGGTGGGTAAAGTCTTGACATATGAAACATCGATGTAAACCAAAAACTTCTGCGATTTTTGGACTTGTCCAGGTCCCAAAATTGTTTCATTAGTAATTTGAAGGCTAGAGGAGAGCATTCAATTACCCATTTTATTCCACTGTTTCTTTTGTCATTTATTTAAAAAGAGGGTTTGAATTCGTTCTCTTCCAAATTAATTGCTTGTTTAATTAGTTCAGTGACATCGTCTGGACCAGTATTGTTAGGTAAATTGTTTATTGTGCATTTAGGTTTTCTTTTGAATGGTATTTTGAGAGAAACTATGTTATTGATTTTTTTCATTGTTTTCTAATATGGAGTTAATCTTGAGTATTTTTTCTTTGGTATTGCATGAAATTGCGATACCACCTTTTCAGATATGTGGAATTTTGAATTTTTACACCAATTTTTGAAACTGGATTGTATTTTTCTAAATTATCTTCTAATTCACGATTTGTCATTTGAGCCTTTGGGATAATAAGAAATGTTGGTGGCTGTCTTTTAGTTGGAGCTTTATTTATTTTGACTACTTCTGCATATGATCTGCATCCTCCATTTTGTATTTTATCATGAGATATAAGAGACATATATGCGTTACTGGTATTTTGACAATAAATATGAGTTTCTTTATTTGGTGGTATATTCTGCATATTGTTGAAACCTACGGGTGGAAAATTGTTTACATTCTGGATATAATTTTGTTGCAGAGGAGTTCTTTGATTTGATGTTGAAATTCTTTGATTGTGTGAAAATATGTTGGTGCTACTTTAGTAGACGGTTGCACGGATTTTTTTTGCGATTTACGTTGGCGCAATTGTTGGCGCGGTTTTTACAATCGTCAACCATCTTGAAAAACGCCTGTTTTTACGTATTTTACGCATAGTAAAGTATTCGAAATTTTAAAATAAATATCGTTAAAAGTAATGGATTTTGTTGAAAATGTCGTTTTTAAGATGGCAGGCAAATGTAAATAAATACATTTACTATGGATATAAAATACTAAAGTAAGGTTAAATTATTACTTTCATATAGCAAAGAAATAGAATAAAAACACGGCTATAAAAACATTGGATTAAAACAATGGATTATAATTGGATTAAAATATTACTTAAAGTGACTATCGAATTAAAAACATCATACCAACGTTTAAAAGAATTAAAATATTACTTGAATTCAAATTATTTAATATTAAAACATATGTGGCAATAAATATCTCGGCAATTTTTGAAAACAGTGTATTAGTTTTTTAATAAAAATTGAAGTATATAATTATAAAGAAAAATACGTACTTACATATTTTTGAATATTTAACGTGTCGTATATATATTGATAAGTGCCACAAAAAAAATCGAAATCATAATTTAGATATCAATGAAAAAATTTGAAAAATGTAATCTAAGGAATTCGAAGAGATGAATAATAAAATTTTAAAATGGCGCGGTAATGCAGAAATATTCAGTAACCAATCAGGGAGCTGATTATAGCTCGTTAATGCACAAATATTCTGTAACTAATCAGGGAGCTGATTACATTACGAATAGACTTAAAATTATTTAAATAATTATACGTAATAAAATCCTTTAAAAAATGAAAAATTAAATTGTATT